TTGTGTAAGAAATTTTATAAAATCGCTTGAATTATATTAAACATTTAAAAATTTAACAGTGGAGTTGAAAAATGCTCTTGTAAAGTGTGTCCCATTGTGGATAAGGTCACCCGACTAATTACCGCGGATGCATATTAGCCAAAAAAATTCAAAGAATAAAAAACAAGCAAACGAATAAGACAAACTTGCCTCCGCAATCCCATCGGGATAGCAGGCCACATATTAAAAATAAAAATGAGTCGTCAAATAGTAACAGAATATAAACACAGAAAACAACTCGAATAGATAATTAAAACAAAACATAGCTAAATAGCTGAAGGAAACATAAGGAAAAGACCATATATTTAACAGCCAGCTCAACAAAATACAAATGCTCCCAAGAATCTTAGATAGACTGGACAAATTTGGAACATCGTACTCAATGAGCAACCCCTAAAGTTAAAAATGGCCAATCATCTTAGACTATTTGAATGGAACGCAAAATGCACTGCTGCAGCATCAACAAGAGCTGCAAACAGTTTTAGATTTAGAAAAAATTGATGTGTCTTATTGATGAGAGACATTTCACAAAAGAGCCGTTTCATCAAATTTAAAGGACATAAAGTGTACCATACAATCCATTCAGATAATGCACCAAAAGGCGCCATTTTACACTATTAACAAGACCACATCAGTTAATATTAAAACAAAAACTTATGAAATTGTGATCACAGATTTATAAAGTATGATAACATACGAATCCCGAGAAATAAAAATGAGACGCTTAATTATATTTGGAAGTAAAATAAAGAGAGAAACTTGTTTAACTACGCCCTTTCCATGACAAGGAGGGGCCACTGCCGCCCGCAGTCAGCGATCACACACAGTACAGCGTACAGCACAAATTTTAGTACTCCACACAAATTGTGTTGAGGTGTATACGTCGCTTGTTGTTTAACATGGCAAAAGTTGCGTAGTTATCGGTAATATCTTACAAATAAAATGCTCAATTTTTGCTAGAGAGTACCTAAAATTAAATGGCACTCAGTTAATTTAAAAAATACAAATAGGTACTCGCCTGTCCGCCTTCGTGATTGGACGTTTAAAAACATTGTTACACCTCTACCGCGGTAGTAAGGAAATTCTCTCTTTCTCTATTTAATCTAGACCGTTCTTTAATATTCAGGATTCTAAACTTAACGTACTGTATAGCCCACCAAGACATGGTATAAAGAAAAATCAAAACGTTGACTTTATGGATAGCCAATGATACAGATTCATAGTGGGAGAAGACTTTAATGCACTTAGGATCTAGTGTAATAATAATTGGCATTATTATTAATTGAAAAAATCTAAAGAATTTACCAAAAATTTTAAACAAGTATTTAATGTTTAAATTAAATAATTAAAAAGACACAATGAAACAAACCTTCAATTTATTAATCTACATTGAACGTGACATTGTTAAATACAATCAACAGTCACATAAATTTTGGTTTATATAGAAAGGATCACTTGGGTAAACACTCAGTCGGGTTCGGACTAAAGTCCAGAACTTTCGCCCCTTGGGCGAAAGTTCTCGTTTTGTATTGTAAAGTAATGTGTATAGTTTTTTGTGTACTATGTGAATTATGGGTAAATGTTTTAACTTAATTTTGTTTAATAATAATTGATTAATTGATTTACATATAAATGCCAATTTTACATTTTCGTCCCGAATTATATTTTATGCATATCTTTATTACTATTAGTTATAGTCCATTATTCCCTAAATGGAATTTTATTCATTTTTTCTGAAGACTATTTGTCAAGTTTTATATTTATTGTTAATATACATTTGTTAATGTTTTAATACTTATTATTAATCTCTCCTCCCTTCCCAAACCAGCAAAATACTCCGAGCATTTGAGAAGCCTCGGCGTTTCTATTCCCTTCGGACTAAAAGAGTCTAAAACTAGTTGCCAAGAACCGCTCGACATATGCTATTAAGGGATGTTTTTTTTTGTATTTTATTATTTTTTCTTTTGCCACTGGCGAATGGATGTTCCTTCAGGACTCCAGGGTAGCTATTCTTGAATTCGAGGGAGTAGAAAACCGGTTTTTCCTCTTTATCTGCAACGCACAAAATTTGTATTTTTGTCTCATTCTTCCCTCAAATTTTCTACTCCCTAAGATTCAAGAATAGATACCCTGGACCCTTTGGCTGGTGACAACGCTGCCCTAATCCCTTAATAGTATATTAACAACAATAGCTAAAGACCTATCAGTAGTTACAAATGGTCTTTAGGCTTGCTGGTTGTTACACTAGACTAACAACAACCAAAGAGAAAGAACTATTAGCATCATGTTATCAACACAAATGTCAAACAATGTCAACTGGAAAGCGTACATACTGACCCACAGATTACAACAAAATTCCCAATCTCATGCATTTTTTTGTTATAATCAAGAATATCGCATCAAATTATACGCATATAGTAGAAACCTGGGACATGAACTTAGAACTTTCTCCCAAACTTCTCATATTAAATGATATTGTAATAGAAAAAGAAAATTTACCTAAACTAGTCAACAAGGACACATACTGGAAAAGCTTCAAAACGAACCTAGAAGAAATAATTGATTTCTCGATTCCATTAACATTGTCATTTTCTATCTCAGTCAACATAATCCACCAATCAGAAACAGAGAAGGAAGCTGGACCTGAAACAATTTGAAAAGAGCAAACAGATTTGCGGATCATTTAGAGAGTACCTTCTAACACAATAAGGTGAAGACCTCCAAGACTGTATGGAACTAGCACAAAAATACTAAGTCGTTAAACCTACCTCTCCAAAAAAGTTTATATGGAAATTCGAACAAATAAATCCGAAAAAAGCCTCTGGATTTGACCTTATTATCGGAGAAAGATTAAAAATGCTTCCACGGAAAACTATTGTCATCATGACTAATCTTATCAATGCGTCCTTTAGAATAAAGTACGTACCAAAGATGTGGAATGTGGCAGAAGTTATACTGATACCTAATCCAGGTAATCTTCCCCGTGAAGTTACATCATACAGACCCATCTCATTGTTGCCTGTTATTCTGAAACTCTATGAAAAATTGCTTCCTAAGAGATTGAAATCTATAATAGAAAAAAAGGACCTAATACCCAGTTTGGCGTCAGAGAAAAACACTCGACCATCTACCAAGTTGGATGTGGCTCAGGCTGACAAAATATGGCATGAAGGCCTGATTCAAAAACTGAACATGTTCCTGCCACATCAATACTCATAACTATTAAAATCCAATTTATCAGAGAGGTATTTCAGAATTAAAGAGAAAGAATGCTATTTCGACCCAAGAAACATTCAAGGCAGGAATACCTCAAGATAGTGTAATAGGTCCAAGTAATCCACTTCTTGTATACCATATATATTCCTAATCTTGAGCCCAATACTACCGCAACATTTGCTGATGATACTGCAATCCTGGCTGTTGGAAAAAATCACGAAGACGCTAATAGAAAATTACAGAAATCTATAGACTAGATTAACACCTGGACGAAAAGATGGCGAATAAAATTGAAAGAAGGCAAATCTGCAATAAACAAAATGAATATATTCCTATTAGAATAAACGCCGTTTAGATTCCTTTTGCCAATACAGCAAAATATATGCGGATTACACTTGATGCTAGACTTCGCTGGTAAATCCATAATAAAAAGAAACACGAAGAGCTTGGTATAAAATACAAAAGATTCCAAATTATCCTCATACAACAAACTGCTCCTTTACATGCAGGTATTGCAACCCGTATGGATGTATGGTATCCAGCTTTGGGGCTGTGCCAGTAAAAGTTTTTTAATTTATTCAACGTTTTCAGAAGTATTAAGGAACTGGTACTGCAGCAATACTGATCTTCATAGGGACTTTAAATTGGAGACTGTTGAAAATACAATAGAAAAATTTGCCAGTAATCACCAACAACAACTACTCCAATATGGGAACGTTGGGATTATCCAGCTCCTCAACAATGCCAATCTAATAAGAAGAATCAAGAGAACCAAGCCTTCTGAGTTGGTTCAGAGATATTAAATAAAAGCAGAGTATACTGCGATTTAGTGTTATACGTTAACGATAGTATAACTAAATAATTAGATTATATATAATCAGAATCAGATAAAAAAATAGTTTGTGATTTTTAAATTACGCTAATTTGTCTAATTTTAAAAAAACGCAGTTGGCAACCCTGGCGATTTCGCTTGCGTCAGTGTTGAAGTAATTTTTCACTGTTTATTTCTTATATTATGAGACATCTCCTTGTGATGAAAATAATGTTATATTCAGATTGGAATTTTTGTAAAAGCAAATCGTAAATAAACTTTATGGTATTGTTGTTTTTATACTGGCATAATTCCAGATAGAAATGTAAGTTTTCGTTTTCCCAAGAAAGATAATCAATCAAAATAAAATGGGTAATTCTGTGAGTGTTGACTCATAAAAATTTGAAATACTAAACTTTTAAGTTTAAGTATTTTTGAATTCATAAATAAATATATCAATATTATCAAAAAAGTAGATGCAGTATAATCTCTTATTCTACCTAATCATACACTTGTAAGATGTTTAAATTTCAAGAGTGTCCAGCATGTTTTTTGAAACTGATATGATTTATTGTCATTTAAAGAACGTACGACAGAGTTCAAAGGGAAGTGATTTTGGTAGACTCTGATTAAAAAGGTGATAATAGGGAAATTTGTGGCAACAGTTATGAACGCAGAGGACACTGACTGGCTATACAAATGAATTTGAGGTAAAGTTACCTTATATTATTCGTATACAAGGAAACCTACAGAAAATAAGATATACAGTTCAAAGATTATATTTCTTCTTGGAATTTTTGGTTAAAAGTTGATTAATAGTGTTGTTATCGTGAAAACCTTTTATTTACTAATTACATGTAGTTTTGATGTTTGTATTTCCAGTTCTACCTTTTGAAATTATTTTATAAATCATTAAAACATTGAAAGTACTTACCTGGTAAACACTGATAGTGCGCCTCAAGATACTTGTGAGTACCAGCACATGGGTCGCCGAACATGCTGGTACTGGCAGGGATGCTGCAGTTTTGATTGTGGGTGCACCTGCAGAACAACCCGCCAATGTTTCATTTTTTGTTCAATATTACAAAAAAAAAGTGCCTTGATCCTGCCAATATTGTATGTTATATGCTTGGACGCAAACCGACGTTACCAATATTTTGAGTTATCTTTTAGATATTATTTTTTTTACAATTTCCCAATTTTACAAGAAATGTTTAATATCTAAATAATCTCATTTCAAAGTTTGTTAATAGAATTTTAATGGGTTTTTGCTGATCACCATTGATCAATAATAAAAATTAATTGTACAAAAATTAATCGAACTTAATTTTTTAAATTTGTTAACTTTAATTAAAATCATCTAAAATACGCAAAGAGTACTAATGATATTTATTTATTTTGAATAAAAGAAATTTCATTTTTAAGTGACACGAAACTGATTCTTCATCAATAGTGACTTTATACAGGTTGTCCCATTAGTGCGTAATTGTTCAATATTTCAATTTGTGTTATATGAATTTGAAAAATACATGTTATAAAAATATTTTGGATATACAGGGTGTTGCGTTTTTGCCTGGCAAATAACAATATTTTTTATTTTATTTTTAGAATTATTTGGTAATATTGCATTTAACCCTAGAATGATTTTAAAAAATATTACACTTTTGCCAAGTAATTAATTTTGTTTTGAAATTAGAGAAAATAATTTATCATAATTTAGGTAGGTTTACATTGATTTCAAAATTGTTTAATAAACAAACATATAAGATACTAAGCTAACGAATATTAGTGATAGAACTGGTTTAGTTTATACAGAGTGTTTTGAATTTTAAATATGGCTAATTTTAAGTTCAATTTACTCATTTTTTCAAATGCAACACTCTGTATATTATTCTAGCATAAAAATCCTTATAAATTTGCCTATACAACGAAACCAATATGTTAGCCAATAACACATATATAGGGTGTCCCATCCGTGCGTAATTGATAGCTGTTTTATTATTAGAAATACGAAGAAATTTTTAATATAAAAGTTGTATGACCATATTAAACAGTTATTCTTAAATATACAGGATGGTCCATAAACGAGGTGTTGAACAAATCTACACTTTTTTAAAGCAAAATATCCTGCAGGTAGTTATACATATTTGATTATTTTCACATTGTCAGACAATTTGCTGTTGTATATGGGGTGTGTCAAAACGAAAAGTTACGATTTTCTTAATTTTTTAAATGGAATACCCTGTATTAATTAATTGGTGGTATATTTCAAAATTGAGAAAATCGTTATCCCGCATTTTGACACATCCTATATAGAAGATAGCAAATAAATGAAGTCTATTAAAATTATTTGTCGATGTGAAAACACATGTATAACTTACCTGCAGGGTGTTTTGCTTTAAAAATGTATAAGTTTGGTCAGCCCCTTGTTTATGGACCGCCCTGTATATTTAAAAATATTTATTAAACATGGTCATACAACTTTTATATTAATTTTTTTTCGTATTTTCAATAATAAAACAGCATGCACTGATGGGACACCCTGTATATGTATTATTGGCTAACATATTGGTATCGTTGGATAGGTAAATTTATAAGGAATTTTATGTTAAAATAATATACAGGGTGTAAATTGAACTTAAAATTAGCCATATTAGGGACATGTTCCAAATCACTCTGTATAGAATAAACTAGTTCTATTACAACTATTCGTTAGCTTAGTGCCTTATAAGTCTGTTTATTAAACAATTTTGAAATCAATTCAAACCTACCTAAACTATGATAATTTAATTTGGGGTCTGCATCATTCTCTAATTTAAAAAAATTAAATACTCGGCAACACTGTAATATTTGTTAAAAACATTCCAGGGTTGAATACAGTACTACCAAACTATTCTAAAATAAAATATTATATAAACTTTTTATTTGCCAGACAAAAACGCAACACCGTGTATATCCAAAAATATTTTTAAAAATATGTAGTTCTCAAATCCATATAATTTTTATTTGAAACTTTTTGCGTCTCTATAATACAAATTGAAATATTTAACAATTACGCATTAATGTAGTTATAGGAACGAATTCTAGTTCTTCGTCTTTTTATCTGGCTATTTGTAGGTGGGTACTTACAGGGTAATAGGGTAAAAAGCATGTATTATGTTCCGGTGATGGGAGCGGTCATATGTGAAATTCAAAGTAAAGTTATATATCAATGGATTTTTATTTTGTTTGCTGTCAATGAAATATATGCGTTCAGGTGTCAATAACAATAAAAAATCCCCTTGCAAGCATTTTCTGTCGTCCAGTTTTGCTGCTTTCGGTGTAGGGATTCCGGTCATGTGACCGACTATTTTCAACGAAATTCGGATAATAGTTCAAACGCGGTTTTTCTGAATCTAACATGATATTGCAAGCATTTTTCTGTGTCCGCGAAAGCGCTGATCTTTAAAAAAAAATTTTAACCTATCGAAAAAATGACTTGTTTTTTGAAATATTTGTAAAATCGGAACTAAAAGTCGTCGAAAACTGGTGTAATTGCCCTCAAAGTGTGTATATGTCCCTCAACCAAAAGTATTGTCCTTGCAGGCATTTTTTACCTAATTCAACCTTCTATTCACCCTGGGTTTTCGAGAAAAAAATGTTAAAGTAGTCTAGTTTCTGGCGAATGGGGTAGAACTACTGAATAAAAATGCTTGCAAGGCTAATACTCTTAGTTAAGAGCCATATAAACATTTTTATAACAATTAATTCACTTTTCGACTTTTGATTCCGATTTTACACCTACTTCAAAAAACACGTCACTTTTCGATAGATAGATTACTTTTTTTATATAAATAAAAATTTTCCTTGGTTTAATCGGTCAAATGTTTTTATTTTCTATTGTTTATTCGAAATCCATTATTTCGAACACACCTTTACACGATGTGAAATAGAAAGATGGAATTATTTTAAAAAATTTTAAACTGTTTGTATTAGTTTCCATAATTTTTATAACTTGACTGCACCTGAAGATGGAAAAACTATATTTTCCGAAACATATGTAGTGTGCTAAACAATAGAAAATAAAAACATTTGACCGATTAAACCAAGGAAAATTTTTATTTATATTTTTTTTTTCATATCATCCCTTTTACCGACACAAAAAAATACCCTCAATGCCATCTTAAATTTAAAAAAACTGCTTTCAAGCTATATCCCAAATATCTGGTCACGTGGCCAAACTCCCTACACCGGAAGTAACAAAACCATACCACAGAAAATGCTTTTTTATTCTTTTTGACGTCTGGAAGCATATATTTCATTACCAGCAAAAAATCCATCTATAAACAATTTTACTTTGAATTTCGCAGGTCACATGACCGCTCCCACCATCGAGACGTAGTACATGTTTTTCACCCCCTCCCATGTACCCAAATACAGATAGAAGAAAATATAAATGTTTTAACTTCAACAAAAACCCATCAAAAACAAAATTACCTGACCGCAACTGATGTTAAATACAAGTGAAAATCAAAAATTGTGAACGTATATTTACCCTGCATGCAATTATATTGAGCTTCTATGTATTTACGAGTCCCTGGACATGGGTCGCCAAATGTTTCGTCATTTACCTCTACCGTACAATTCTGTTTGTTAGAACATCTGAAAATAAATGATTTCGTATTTGTTGTGTAAACAGTTATGATACCATGAAAGCTTTTGAAGATTATTGACACAGAAGCGATGTTAGAACACACAACATATTAGCTTGATTGCTGTTTAAAACCCTTGTTTAATAGAATAATTCCTAAAGATTACAAAAATTCAATGGAAAAATACTAAAATTAACATTAGACTGTATTTAAAATAAGATGATTATTATAAATATTGGAACTCATCATGAATCACCATGTATATGGTTATTGAATAAATTTGATTCAAACTGATGTTTATTTATAGTCCAGTGTTAAATTTATTTTCTAATATTAATAATTTATTCAAAAACAATAAAATTTGGTTAATTTCAATTAGACTCATTAGTTATACAGTAGTGCTTTTATTTCAATACATTATTTAAATTACTCTTATCTAAATTCGACCTATTTGAATATTTATTAAAACTTCGTACCTATTAGATTTAGATATTATTTAAGAGTAGTGTCGATCAAAATTAAAACTCCATTGAAATACATTTTCAGTTTATAATCAATCTATTCATATTTAAAGATATTTACGGAGTGACCCACAGAAAATATTTCTAAAGTTTGGGTTTAATTCAAAGAAAATAAAAACCTAAGAAAATGTATGTCACAAGTATACATTAAGCGAAAACGTGTCAAAAACCTGAAGATTTAGCACAAAATGAAGGGCTCCCGGTCTAATAGAGACGATATCGTTTCTAAATGCAATAACCGCGGTGTTTTTACGATATCATTTACGAGCGTATAAAAGTTTCAAGGCAGAATGAGTAAAATTTTCGATAAAATGCAACCGACGAATATAACCTAACATTTATTGCGTAAAATTTCCTAAAACTTCGTTGCCAATTACAATTAGAGGACCCAAAGGCGATACATCGAGAAAATATAGAAAAAGCATATAGATTTTCGCGAATAAAATTGAATCCTCAATTCTAGTGACTCATATGACATCGCTTCGCGTAAAAAGGATAAAGCTTAGCGTTTAGCCGAGGGCTAAATAGAAAAATAGTTTATTTTTACAGAAATGGAACAGTTTTCTTGGTCAGCAGTCCTAACGGCATACTTTGTTTTTTTAATATATTTCCAATAGTCGTTTCAAATCAAATTAAATCTCCAGAAAAATATTATTTTATAGGCAAAGATTATTTAATAGTTCAGTAAAAAATTGATTACTGAACATCCACATATAAATATGTATGGTGGCGTAGGTGTCTACGGCGCTCGCATTCATTTGCGAGAAATTTTGTGGTAAGAGACACTCTGCCTTCGAATCCTACGGAAGACCACATGTGAATTTATTTGCATGGCTCTCTATAGGATGTGATGGATGCCGTATTAGCAGAAATTTAATTTCTTTTGATA